AGATGTAGATGAGTTTGTTTCTTCATTAGATTTGATAAAATGTAGCATTACATCACTTGCTCACCAATGGATACTATGCAGTGAATGGATGAGTCCAAACAGCTGATAAATATATATCATGATAATCCACACGACTCCAGACCATCAGTATCTTGTGAAGCCAAAAGATGTGTGTTTGTGAGAAACAAATCCATCAAGACATTTTTAACTTCAAACTGTTGCTCCTGGCTAAAATACGAGTTCATAATCCATAATCCATAACCACTGAAAAAGTAATCTGGTCTGAATCAGGAGAGAAATATGCACAGTTTAAGCACAGTTTAAATTGTTCTAGACAAACATATAGGCAACAGGGGATGGACTTTTTCACTAGAGGAAGTGTTATTATGGACTCGTATTTTAGCCAGAAGCAGCAGTTTGAAGTTAAAAATGTCTTGATGGATTTGTTTCTCACAAACACACATCTTTTGGCTTCACAAGATACTGATGGTCTGGAGTCGTGTGGATTATCATGATATATATTTATCAGCTGTTTGGACTCATCCATTCACTGCATAGTATCCATTGGTGAGCAAGTGATGTAATGCTACATTTTATCAAATCTAATGAAGAAACAAACTCATCTACATCTTGGATGGCCTGAGGGTGAGCACATTTTCATTTTTGGGTGAACTATTCTTTAAACACACACATATTATCATCATCAGCACAGCTGAACATGCCATTCAGTGAGTGAGTCACAACACTCAGTCATTCAGAAACGCACCTCCACAGTTGGTGTTGGTCAGGATTCCCCCCGTCACGTCATTATGAAAGCTGTAGGCCAGGTAGAAGAGACTGCTGAGAGCTCCTGAACACAAACACACAGTCAGAGGAGCATCATCAGTAGTTTTGTTTGTAATCGTCTGGGGTTTTCTAACCTTGTGTGTAGCAGGCGATTCCGAGAGACTCCACAGCGCTCTGATGAACCTTCAGACGCTCCACTGATGATCCTGGAATCCTGCAGAAGAGACACAAGCCATGGCGTTTCAGAGTCATTCATCAGATTGTTACTGCGGATTGAATCTCAGATTTCACATTTCACCTCAAATGTTTAGAGTAAAAAAACCAGTGAATCTTATTTTTAAGAGCATTTTTTGATCATTTTTCCATGATAATTTAACACATTTAACATGAAAATTCTCAATGCAATGTAATGCAAAAAAAATCTAATATTCATTTTTATAAATCTTTATTCCTTTGTGTTATGAGTATTAATTATATTGTTTTATATTATCTATGCCATGTATTTTATTCTGTTCAGCACTTTGATTAGCTTTGCTCTATTTATATGTGCTATATAAATAAATTTTACTTGCTAAATGTAATATAAAAAACATATTTTGGGCACTGTAAAGTACATTTGTAAAATTCACTGAATAGCTGCAGATCAAGAAAAAGGACATGTATTATAGTAATAAGAATTTATGGTTAAATGTGTTTAATTCAGTGTTATTTTAGTATTATGAAGGATCTAAGGATTCTTTAGCAACCTGTGTGTGTTTTGCTTCAAGACAGCATTTGTGTTGTGTTTTACTTTCTTTCTTTTATATTAATTTATTCTTCATTCATTAATTCACTTAATCATTTTATTATTCCATTTAATCATATAATCATTTAAGCAATTTATATACTCATTTCATTGATTCATGTATCGATTAGACATTTATATTATATTATGTTTTATATAATTTTTCCATTGTTGTTTAGTCTTATGATGTGTGGTTTCAAGGTATATTTGTCTTCATGAGTAAGAGATAAAATCCATTTCAAGGTTTTTAACATCATGGGACATTGTTGAGAAGCAGTCATTTTCCATTCCTATTGTTTGTGATATAATAACACTTGTTGGATTTATGCTGGTCAGACAGAGTCTGAGCATTGAAACATACTCAACTAAGATTATCCAATAAACTTTGCTCCCTTTTTTTAATCATCATCACTTTCTGCTCTTCTCTGGCTTTGCTCAGTCAACTTCTTGGCTGATAGAAGACTGTTAATACAGTTTTGGGTACCAGACAAGTCTTGCTCTTAACAGGTTTTTTGTATTAGACAACTTTGCTTACTAGTTGTTTGTTTACCAGTCAAAACAGAAATTTTCTTACAGGAACTGGCTGCATCTGATATTTCTGACGTGGGGGCATGACCTTGGTCTGTTCACCGCGGGACCCCCTCAAGCGTGGGGCCCGGTGCGACCGCACCAGTTGCAGCCCTGCATGTTAAAGTTTACAGGTCTTTAGTTCTCGTGGCCAGGTGCAGCTTAAACCATTTAGGCACTGTTATATTTTGGGAGTAGGTTTGCTGAAGCTTGATTTCCTGTATTGTCTTTAGATGTTTTGTTTAAGTAGTCACTTCTGAGGCTATGTGTACAGTCGACACCTTTAAGAGCTGCCCACTGAATGACTATAAAATACAATGTATGCCTCCCTTAGTCAGACTTTTGATGACTGCAGCGCCACAAAGCAAGTTCTAAATAAAGTGTCCTGCTGAAGATACCCAAGATTCTCCTGGTCTTCGCTTCTGAGTTACCAACAGTTTTGGTGTCGTGACCCAGAGCTTCTCGCCTCGTTCCAGACTGAATTTCAGATCCTTTTCTCAGCTCAACAATGATTTGGTGAGTTTTACTCTATCCAAAGGACCACTATACAGACCAGTAAATTTAGTTATCCTCTATGCTATTAGAGATGTGTTAACAAACAGCTACAGGGTTTGGTTAACAAACTAGTTATCCTCTGCTTTGCCAGGGAAGAAGGTTTATTCTGTTTAGTCAGAGAAGGGTAACAACTATTACAGTGTCTTAGCAAGTTGATTATCCTCTGTGTTGCGTTTACATTATGATGTGTATTAACTATAAGTTATCCTCTGCATTATTGGTGTATCCTCTGCTTTGCCAGTGAAGGTTAACAACCGTTTTTCTATGTTAACAAGTTTATCCTCTGCCTGCCAGAGAGGTGTTGGAAATGTCCTGTTGTATAAAGACATTACAAAATGTTGAGAAGGAATGCTAGGCTGATTCCAACAACTGAGAAAGGTGGACTAGCCACTCATTTATGGACAGGGAGTTCAAATCATTGTTAGGAAAGCACGTGGACTCAGCAGTGACTGAGTCAGTCAGATTGGATTTGACAAAGAAATTTGCTATTGATCCAGAAAAAGTATGGTCAAATAAAGAATGCAAAAAGGTACTTGGGGCATGTATCAGAAAGAAAAACATAAAAGGCATTATCTGCTGCCACAGAGAATTTACTTTATCCTTAGCACAAGAACAAACTCAGTGTATTGCTAAATTAAAAGAACACAACAAACAACTACAAACTAGAGTGTCTTGTCTCACTAAAAAGGTGGGCCATAACAAGGCCTCAACTAAAAGTGACTCAAAAGACCAACAGTCAGATGAAAGCTATCCTGATTTATACTCTTTTTGTAGACTAGAGGACAATCGCTATACTGGATTGATGGATAAAAATGTAAATGCAGTTGAAGTGTGTGGAACAAGACAAAAAGCTCAGAGTAGGGCAGAAGGGGTTGACACTGTTCAATCTGCAACCCCCATACTAAAGTTATAGTGCCTTGCGAAAGTATTCATACCCCTTCATTTTTTCACATTTTGTTATGTTGTTGCCTTATGATAAAATGCTTTAAATTACCCTTTTCCACATCAATCTACACTCCACACACCATAATGACAAAGAAAATATTTTTTAACATATTTGCAAATTTGTTAAAAATAAAAATAAACTTAAATTATTCCATTGCATAAGTATTCATCTGGGACAGTTGAAATTTAGCTCAGGAGCATTCATATTGCTTGTAGATGTTACTACACTTCGAGTGAAGTTAACCTGTGGCAATTTCAGTTGAATGAATATGATTCGAAAAGGCACACACCTCTCAATAAAGGTCTAACAGCTGAAAATGCATATCAGAGCAAAAACCAAGCCCTGAGGTCAAAAGAACTGCCTGTAGGGCTCAAAAACAGGATTGCATCAAGCCACACATCTAGGGAAATTCTGCTGCACTGAAGGTTCGTAGAAGCATGTAGTCTCCATTGCTCTTAGTGGAAGAAGTTTGAAACAACAAGGACTCTTCCTAGAGCTGGCCTCCTGGCCAAACTGAGCAACTGATGGAGAAGGGCTTTGGTTAGACTGGTGACCAAGAAGCTGATGGCCACTCTAGTTGAGCTCCATGATCATATGTGGAGACAGGAGAAACCTACAGAAGCACAAACATCACTGCAACACTCCACCGATCTGGTCTTTATGGCAGTGTGGCCAAACGCAATCCTCTCCTCAGTGAAGACACATGAAAACACACTTGGAATTTGCAAAAAAGCACCTAAAGAACCCTCAGATTGTGAGAAACAAGATTCTCTGGTCTGATGAACCGCAATTCCAAACATCATGTTTGAAGGAAACCAGCTCTGCTCATCACATGCAGAGTTGCATCCCAACAGTAAAGTGTGGTGGTAGCAGCCTTATGCTGTGGGGCTGTTTGTTTTTCAGCAGCAGGGACTGAGGGACTCATCAGAGTAGAAGAAAAGCTCAGTGCACCAAAATATTGAGATGGCCTTAATGAAAACCCAGTCCAGAGCATTCAGAACCTCAGACTGGGCAGAAGGTTCACCTTTCAACAGGACAATGACCCTAAGCACACAGCAAGAGTGGCTTATAGACAACTCTGTGAATGTCCTTGAGTCGCCCAGCTTGGGCTTGAACCCAATCAAACATTTTTGGAGAAACCTGAAAATGGGCATCTGTCCCCATCCTACCTAACAGAGCTTAAGAGGTGAAAAGGTGAGGACAAGAATGGCAGATAATTGCCAAATGCTGATGAGCAAAGCTTGTTGCATCATACCCAAAAAGACTTGAGGCTGTAAAGGCCCTGATATACTTCAAGCGAAATCAAACAATGAACTGATGTGACGTCATTTTGAACAAAAAACATTTTGGGAGTTCGAAATGGCTTGCCAAAGCAAACTTTACGGAAAAGTTTGTTCCGGCTGAAAAACACCTTCGTACTATCATTGGTCCGTAACGATAACATCATAGGAGGTGTGTGCTGAGGCTCCGCCTTCTTTCATGCGGAACTCTTCTCTGGGTTCATTTCATCTGTCGAATCCCTGGAGGTGAGATGTCCGCGTGGAGAGCCACTTTATAGTAGCAAATTAAGATTTGCTTTTAAGTTCAGTTTTTTTTAATTAAGTTAAGTTTTGTCAAGTTTAATACTGCTGCTTGCTTTTAAGCAATATATTGAATAAAGTGCCATGTAAATACACGTGACGTGACTACACGGGAGTGCTAATTTGCAGAGCTCGTGCAAGCATAACATTTTGCTATGAACAGATGCTTTTTATAAAAAATGCTTGCTGTCCTCTCCATTTTTTGTTTTGTTAATTTTGTTACTGAGAGGAAAGCTGGCAGCACATATTTACATATTCTTTTAATCATCGCTTTCATCAGAGTGGGTGGCGTCGGGATGTTCGATAACAGTATACTGCTGCTCACGTATTTCAAACTTCGTTTTACCCCTAAACGAAGAACGAAAAAGAACTTCGTTTTAAGTATATTGGGGCCTTAAAGGTGCTTCAACTAAGTACTGAGTTAATGGTATGAATACTTATGCAATGTACTTATTTCAGTTTTTTTATTTTTAATAAATTTATGAAGTTTTGACAATTCTGTTTTTCCTTAGTCATTATGGTGTGTGGTGTGTAGATTGATGTGGAATTTTTTTTTTTTTTTTAAGTACTTTAACAGAAGGCAGCCACATAACAAAACAGTGAAAAAAATTAAGGGGTATGAATAATTTCGCAAGGCACTGTACAAGCAGTCAATACAGCTCTAGGCCATAGAATGACTTGCTTTCACGTTTATGTTCCTGTTTTTCCTTATTTGGTCATGTTCCTGTGTTCCCTGATTAGTTGCCATAGTTATCATTATTGTCTCATTTGTGTCATGTGTG